GTGTACTCAAATAGTGACAACCAGAGGAAACCAGTGTATTTAAAAAAATACATGCAAAACGAACTTGGTTACTTCGTCACCTTTCTCCCACCAACACAAGAATTTGTTTCTTTAATAATAATTAGTTCTAGATATTAATGGCGACATGTTTCGACATTCTTGTCATTTTCGGGTCATACGTCTATTGTTAAATAGAGAATGTCAAAAACTACATAATATTTAAAGAAAATAAAACAAACTGCTGTAGACTGTACTAATAAATAATACAGTTTAGAAAATGCTGAAGGAATGCTGTATTATAAGATTCACAATATGTACTCCTTACCAAGAATCACGAATATGACCAAATCAAAGAGAATGGGATGGGAATGGTAAAGCTTACAAAATTTAATTCGAGCATCCTGCGGGTAAGATACCTCTCGGGAGACCGAAACGTATATGGGAGGATAATATTAAAATAGATCAGAAAGAACTAAGATCACAGGATGTGCGCATGATTCAACTGGAATGGGACCGTGTCCAGTGGCGACTCTTCAGAACATTATAATAAACCTTCGAGTTGCCCCGAGTGATTAAGATTTTTTTTTTAGAAGTTCGAATATACAAAAAAAAAAAAGAGCTGCTCTTCAGAAGCTAACTTCAGTTAATTCTTGCGTTATTATTTTCAAACCTTTGTAGATGGTACAAAAGTGTACAATCTGCTGAAAACTCCTAGGCTAACACTTGTCAAAGAAAACTAGAAATGTCAATGCAAAACTCTTCAAAAGGAAACAGTAAAGAACACCATAGCACTGCCCCTAGAACTTACTGAAGAATCGAAGAGTTATCCTCAGTGTTGCCAACCAAAACACATAAAATGGCAATAACAACAAACACGTGGTCTATAACTTGGGTATATTTTGCATGGAACACCCTGCAGTGAAAACATCTTGAACTATAAATTAATGAGAGTAAAAGAACAGCGTCTGTTTGTTGGAAAGACGATTTTATAGTTCGCTCGAGGCTGCTTATAATCTGTCGTCCGTCCCGTATGCCACATCCCGACTCCATAACACGTTACATAACGCACACCACCTGATATTTCGGGACCCCCAAAGATCAACACTGAACATATCCCAAAAGATTCTCTGCGTAATTGTAAGACAGCGGAACCGCCACTGGTCTGTGAACTCTGGCGACCGTCTGGGTACGAGAATAATTCTCCCGCTTTCTACAGCCTCGTCCTGGTACTAAATGCGGGTAGACGAACACCCTCCACTGCCGATTGCCAAAATTCGTCACTTCGCTTCTGAGGTCACTCAGCCCGCAACCATTCTGTGAACACGCACACACTGCAGGGTGTCCCAAAAAGATATACACACACAAGGTTTATCTTCTGTGCATATTCTTTTTGTGACACCCTGTGTATGCACTGTTTCATTTGTAGGTCTACAAGGTCTTTGGAAATTATCTCAAACTGTTTTTGGTTACTTTCAAACGACAATAATGCTCAGTGAATTAATAACATATAGTAACTTCGTAAATTGCCCGTCGAGAGGGACGGGGGAATTTAAAGCAGAAAACACACAATCGTGATATCATCCCACGAGGCCCAAAATGCCTCAACACCATTACCACATCAACGGTCATAGTAACGTATAAATACTACATCAAAGACCCAAGTCTTTCCGAAACCCTGGTATCATCCCTACGACGCCAGAGTGATTTCGTCTGCACGTACACTTGGATTTCCTGACAGCTGTGGACCAAATCTCGCACGCGGAGGGTTCTTTGTCATTCTGTAGTTTCCTGTACAGCGTGGACCCGGGGGGGGGGGCACAGACTACACCGCCACGTGTCCGTGGGATCCTTTGCAAACAGTCCACAGCCTGTCACAAAATGTGTGTGTGTATTGAAACACGATAAAGGGCAAACAAATGCCACGCGTCAGAACTCCGCATTGCCATCTTCCTATTTTGGAACATTTGGACTAACTGGGCCATAGGCCAAACGCTTCGTCAGATTCCTTGAAATTGTACGTAGACTTGACTCAGCTCGAATAGTAAACGGGACGCGGTTCAAACGCGTACATTTATAAATGTCTGCTGTTCTAGAAATGAGTCCCGCTGAGCTAGTCCTACAGAAAACTTAACGCATCTCGCAGAAGCCACATCGATATTTGAAATGGTTATGGGTTGTGTTTTCTTTGAGGTACGGACTGGAATCTTAAATACTATTTACGCGAGCTTCAGGCTTCAAATAATTAACTACGTTCTCTTATCGTGGACTTAGACGAAAATGGATGTCATCTGATAAATGGATGGGACATAATTGGCCATTAATGGTCGTGTGATTGGAACAATGAGAGAATACTAATGAAAAAGCTGTGATGTATCTATTTCTGGAGACTTTAATGCATTTTGCAGGGTAGCTGAAATGCGGTGCACCGCTCCTCCACGCGGGGGCACAAAGGGTCTTTGTTCTGTGAAGTTCGTACACAAGGTGACTTTCTGTTCTGGTCCTATTTGTAGCTGCGCCCTGAGGAAGGACGGAAAAAGAAACAAAATGTGTGACTTCGGATTTATAACAACCTGGAAGACAGCCATCTTCAGACTCACAGCCCAAATAGACACACAGTTCCATGCATTCGTAGCGTCGACAATAAACAGAGGCAAGTGGTCAGTTTCGAGTTCCAGCGGATTTATCTCTGATACCCGCTTATCTGGGGACCGGGTTGTCCCATGAGGAGCTGAAGAAAAATTTCGCTGCCGGGGATCGAAACCAGTTAGCCCAGCCTGTAACCTAGTCACCGTAATGATTGGCGTTTTTTAGGCTCGTCTTGTACATATGTTACTGGCATTTTAAACAGACTCGCAAGTCCTATCAATGCGTATGGGCGATTTCAAGAGAATGTACATTCCAGTTTGTAAGCGTTGCATAACAACACAGCTATTGTCACCAGGAACCTGACGGCTGTCCATGAATGAGTATGAACTTATAGGCAATCTGCCAAACATGCTGTAAACAGGTGTGTCCATTTCTCCACGAACACGAACACTTCCTGCCTCGGTTCTATACGAACAGACGAGCTGAACTGCTATAAACCGCAATTATTTCCTTAAACAGCGTTAACGAGCTGATCTTTGGAGTGGTGAACTGTTGTGTTTTCTTCGCGGTACGGACTGAATTCTTAAATATCATTTAGAAGAGCTACGTGCTTCAAAGGGCTAATCGAAAAATCACAGGGACACCAACAAACATCGATATAAGATGACAGCCATGAACCCAACTTTCTAGATACTCTGGTCACCCGTAACAATAATCAGAGTCCAGCTAAGTGCCGGGTCAGAGGTCAAGAGGGCCTAGCACTCGATAGGGGAACAGAAGCACAACGGAGAAAGGGCGTGCACCTCAGCGCCATTTAGCTGAGACTGAACCCCGCGGTCCTGCATCACGTGAAGTGGAGGTAAAACTCCACGCATCTATCGAAGGTCGAGGTCGATTAGTTGGCAACCCTGCTTCGTGCGTATTCGCGATGTTCCGGATTCGACCCGGAGAACGGCTATCCTGACTGAAGTGGTTTTCCTTGGTCCTCCGGGCAAATCAAAGCAAATCAATCTTAAATACATACCAACGAATCTGTAACCCAGGCATGAGATGGAGGTGAGTGATCAGTTTGGCGCTCCGGCTACTTTACCCCCGGGGAGAGGTATCCCGGCACGGCGTCATTTAATAGTCAAACATGACTACAACGTAGACAGCCAGAGAGTTGAATGTGTCGGGACCGGCCACTAAGACTGGAACTGCACCTTTTCCATCACTGGGCGACCTTGACAGGGCGCTGAACATCAGCCACAACAAAAACTTGCTCTGAAAGGACGCTGACGGTCGCTCAGAGTTTCATGCCTTTCAAACAACCCAGAGGTTCATTACTCTGTCCACAAGAGCCCGCCACCGGTCCCTACCCTGAGCCAGATGAATCCAACCCGAGCCCTCACACCAAATTTCTTAACGGTCTTCCGTCTATGTCTAGGTCTCCCAGGTGCCCTGTTCCATTCACTTTTCCCGACCACAATTCATCTCTCACATGCGTGCTACATGTCCTGTGTACCTTGTTCATCGGCTCAATGCGCAACGCAGGATCTCCGTCGCCAGCCGGCGCAAAAACTGTGCACAACGCGGGTCCAGAGACCATAAAACCGAACGGCACATCTCCGTAATTAGTGAACGAATTTCGATTAAATTTTGTATCAGCGGTCTCGACTACCAAAAATTGACGGTCGAACTTAATTTTGGTTCGTATCGAACAAAAATAACACGTATTATACATGAAGCTCAAAAGGAAAAGTGTCTTCTCAAAAACAAGGATAGATCTCGCAAGATTCCCTTTGTAGTGTCACACGTGTACGCAGAGTACTCCGCGTTCTCACGCTTTAAAGGCGTAGTCTGTTCGCGACAAACGTTTCTGTTTTCCTACGAAACTTGATGTCTGCCGTATAAATGAACCAGTTTCATGAACAGATACGGAGAGGCCTGCACCAGTTATGATGAGCCAACTTACGTCAGATCCTTTAGTACATTGTTATTCGTCTCTCCGATTCCGCACTGGTTGCTAGGCGACCATAAAACGGTTTTGCTAGATCGATCTACGTTTACAGATGTTTCTTCGCTTGGCTACGACGCACAGAATTGGTTAACGGGAGTAAGTTCACATAACATTCTCACACTTTAACAAATTCACTGTCTGAAAAGACAAAGTTCGAGGCAGTTTCCCTGCTAAAAATAAGAATTCTTCCGGAAGCAAACGGAACAAGTTACGTGTCACAGAAACGCGTGATTTGACAGTCACTTTCACTTCTCTGTGGTGCACCCGGTTTCAGAACAGAAGCTGGCGTAGCCATTTGGGTCCGGCTCGACACAAATGCAGGGGCGTCGCCCCCTGCGTGCTCTGTACACACAACAGAACGGGGGTTAACTGTGAGTTTGATAATGTAAGCGTACGAAAAGAAAAAATGTCCTACCTCAAAACTGGAGGCGGAAACCGGCCGGATCAGGAAGGCGGACGAAACAAACGCCGTATGAAGACGATCTACGGCCTCCGGTGATCTTCGGGCATTCTTCTTGTCATCTGAAACAACAACACAAAGGAATAAAGTTCTGCCTCCCTTAAAAGCTTTGGACACTCCGCGTAAACCAACAGAATTTACATAAACGCTTTTTAATAATAAACTTGAAAATAAGGAATTTGGGCACTGGACTTAGTCAACTTTAAAAAAATCGTAAATAAAAATGTGATTCTATGGAAATTTTCCAGTCACGCCGCGGACATAACTCCGTGCCTCAAACGACATCCAGACGAAAACGCACCCGAGCGGATAAGCGCAGATTAAAAAATCTTTTGTACGTCGCATCCAGTCGTGGAACGATTAATAAAATAACCAGGAAGAACAAAGCGAGAGCTGGAGGGACGAGATGTCGCTTCTACAATGTAAACCCGCCAACGCATAACGGAACCCAAAAGTTGCTTGCGAAATGACAACCTTTCAACACGTGCGTTGAACCCAGTGAAGACGCCAAATGCTCGTATTACAGGGCGCAAACAAGGAGATTCACGCGAAATCCATAAACACACTTAAAACTGTCAGAGCGGGTGGCTTTTGAAGGTCTTACAACGCCACCGATGACGAAAAGACAACTCGAAATATCCTTTTCCTGTCATTGGTTCCGATTCTTAGCCAGCTGAATCCAGTTCACAGCCACAAATTCTGCTTCATTGCGATCCATAGTCCTTAATTCGATAATCTAAATAATGTTCAGAGAACAGTCAAAATTACTGAAAACCAATCATGAGAATTCATCTTACACAACAACACCCAACCTCGCCCAGTGCTAACGCCCTCTGTGCTCTGCGATTAGCAATGACAAGCGCGAACAACGATAATTTTATTCCAGTTTTGCCCTAATGACTGCTGTCATGTACTGCACTCCCCACGCAGTAGTTTGCAGCGTCTGAGAACACCGGAATGATGATCGAAGATAACTGACAAATTCGACCCGAGATGCCGTTATGAAACGCTTTTCGTGTCGTAGCGGCCCGCATTCCTGTTCGGTTTATTAATACGTGCCACCTTATTTAGCAATCAGTAACTCTTCGTGCTACGATTTGCCTCTCAGAGACGGTGCAGTTGGCTGACAATGGAGTTTACACGTGTAAGAGGCGGTGAATGCTTTCAACATTGATGGCGGAAAAGGGATTTGATTTCCATAATTTCTTGGTGCAACAGAGAGGACAAGATAAGCGAAGTCTTGATCCTCGCGATGAATGTAAAAGTGATACACGCGACTAGAAATCACATGAGGAGGATCGAATGTGTGGGTTTTCGAATCGTGAGGTCATTAAACACTTCAGAAGTCAGAAAACGGCACTGAATAATGCATCGCGTGTCGGAAGCATCGTAGAGCATAAATTGAAACCTAAACCCCTTTCTTGTTGTAACTGTCGTGATGTTGTGCAATTGTCACTACTGGCCGCATCCTCCAACATCTGAGGCCACTGGCATCTTAACACCTCAGAGCCCGGTGGTAACTATATGTACCACGTGTTTTAACGATCAATAACACTGAATTTCGTACGATTCTCGATGTAAACTGCGATTATTTCCTTGAACAGAGTTAACCAGTTGATCCATGTAATGGTGAAGTGTTTTCTTCGCGGTACGGGCACAAAAGCATTAATTCAAGAAAAACGCCTTGAAAAATCATATTTTTAACAACACCACTCAGCGAGTTTCGGATGTGGAAAGTCGGAAAATCAACTCGGTTACCCAAACTGCATAAATAAAATCCAGACGCTGAGAACTATGACATGGTATTTGGACACCCCTTGTTCGTCGAAAGGCCGCGATAACGAGAACAGGAGAGAAACGTGCTCCTCGACAGGTCTACCAACTTCCCGGCAGCGTAGGAGCGTGCCCGGAGGTGAACCCCGATCCCAGCCTTCTGTGTCAAGAATCCAGACAAACAGAGAATCACAAAATAAATGAGATGGGCGGAACGTACAGACGGAGCACGAGCCTCGTCCAGACCAGCTCTGGGGCACTTCCAGCCTAATTACTAAACAATACCAAGGTCAAAGCAGCCGAAGCGTGTAGCTAACCAATAATCTGATTGATCAGTCCCCCCCCACCAATACCTGCTTCCCCTCGCGATTACAGTGCGTTAACACGCCCGGCTGCATCTCCTCAGAGTTTAACACAGACAAAAGAGCTTCAGGATGTGAGATGATGCGTTGAGTAATGACGATTCGGAAATGCCTGCTGCCTACATGATCAGAGTAGAAAAAAATAAAGCTGTCCCATGACACGTCATATAGGCGCATAAGGGGGGAGGTGGTACCAGCTTCCACTCATTGCTAACCTCGGCACTAGAGCCGGTCTGGACTGGACGCAGAGACTAGGCGAAAAATCCTTTGCCCCTGTCGAGGATCGAATCCCGGTCGTCCAGTCCGTCGACTCGCATATGATCAGGGTGCTCCATGTTAGTTAAATGTACGATATTTAATCATCACCTAATTGTGGTCCCTTAAGATATAAGTATGATTCCAAAATAATATTAAAAATGGCAGGAGACCAATTTTCATCCTAAGCTGCAAGATCAGCCACATTCTGATCACGTTCGCGAAATTGTGTATTTATAGCCGGAGTGAAAGTGATCATCGGCCATTTTGAGCAATCACGTGCAGCAAAAGACAGGAACACAGCCTCCGCACGCAGCCGATGAAGCGGTTTGACTGTCTGATGCACGGTCCGATTTTTATAATTTATGGTTGAAAAGAATTCTAGTCACGTTTAAAGGAAAAAGTAGTCTACTGTAAGCTGTAACTATTTACAAACGACATATTGAAGCCCATCACGAAGTCAAGACGCGAACCTGACAATACCAAAAAGAGTCATCGAGAAATACGTAACCGTCTAAAAGCCTAGCATGCAGGCGCACGTAAATTACAGGCCGTAAAAGGAATTTATCGACAAAGTATTGAGACAGATTCTAGTTTTCATACGCTCGATACCGTTCTTGGGAATTACAATTTCTCAACACTCAGAAATACTTTCAGTCCTTTCAGGAAGAAGTATGTCGATCAAGATCGCCGTCTTCTGGCATAAAGGACCTCATAATCAGGCAGCACCGACGTTTCAGAGAACGTTTCGTCACGGCAGTAAGCTTTTCTGAAACGCGTCCATATCTACCAGACTATGGGGCGAAGGAATAGTTAACATATTGGGTGAGACGTGTATGAAGTTCGAGGGCGAAGCACCGCATGGAACCAGGAGGCGTATACGTGCTATTAAAGTGCACGCGAGCACTGTCATACGAGTAGAAATTATTACGAAGAGACAGAGATAAAGCTCTGCGCATTCCAGAGAATGATCAGCTCCGGCCGTCTTATCCCCCAGAGCAGTCAAGGCGGTAAAACCCAAGATCTGAAGGATACTATCCCAATTTAACAGGAAAAAAATCTTCATCAGCGATAAAAAGCATCAGATAAATCGATCCACGTGACTCCTCATAACTCCAGGAACCGCAGAGTTCCACAGAGAACGCTTTGGATCGGTGGTCCATTAGAAGGGTCCAGAATAAAGGCTTCTGTCTTGCAAAGTTACGTTTCAACCCGCGGATACCCAAACAAACTTAGAAGGCTCTCGTCGTCATCCGAGGACAGTGGTGCGTCTCATATTTCCAGTCTCCGGTACATCTTCAACGTTATCAGCTT